GAGGCCGCTAATAACTAGTCTTTTAAAGGCTCCTCTTGGTTTCCTGGGTCAGAAATCAATTCTAATCTAAACAGACAGTGATGTCTGGATTTATCGGTGGGAGGACAAACAGATGGGCTTTGTTCGGGGCAGGCCTAGGCTTATTTTCACCCAGGCAAGAATTGAGAGGCCCAAGGAAAGTCTTGGTTCAAACACCAAGCATAGGAAACGGTCCCTTTGTCTCTCTACCACGCTAGGGAAGGTCACAACGGTATCTACTTTACCCCTACCTTTGCTGACCCTTAGCGTTCTGGCCCAGAGAAGCTGTGACATGGGACCGATTAATTTCACTTTCTATTTCTAAGAAGGGTAACTTTCAATCTCACACTCCTGACCGAATCTGCCCCGCTTCACAGTGTGGTCAGGATGAGTGGTAACACATTTCTCCTTGAAAGGAAACACGTATTCTGCTTAAGTGATTATGAGCGAAAGACAACCAAGCAAAACCCCAAACAGCAAAACAAAATTCCTTTGACCTGGGAATGGCTAAGCGCCCAAAGCGTGGATTACCAGGGCAAGGTTCCAAAGAGATTTTCTATTTCTTAGGTATGTAAATGCAGCTACTGAAGGGTTCTGGAACAGAACATGCCACCGAGCCTCAGAAGGTCCTATGTCAAGCTCATCTCTGCCATCACTTACTAGGCTATCTTGAGACGCCTAAGTTTCAACTTCCTCTCCTCAAATGGAAATGCTTGTCCCCGCCTGGCCAGTTGCACAGGCTTAATGGGATTACATTATATCAACGCAGAAGTACTTTGGAAATGGAAAAGCACGAGGCAAAGTTAAGTACTGGTGCTTTTTTTAAACAGTTTTATTGGCACATAATGCACCTGCCATACAATTCAGTGGTTTAAATATATTGAAAAGAGTTGTGCAATCATCACCACAATCAATTTTAGAATATTTTCTTCACTTGTACCCATTAATATTAGCTCCCGATTGCCCCTGCCATACATTAAGAAACTATTAATCTAGGTACTATCCCTATGGATTACTTATCCTGGATTTCATGTAGAGGAAATCACACACACACACACACACACACACACACACACTCAGTGACAAGAAAATACAACACAGAAAAATCTCAATCCAAGACAGCAGAAGATCATAGAAACTAGAAGAAACTAAAAATGGGTCCAAAGTGAAAACAAATGACCGTATGTTCAATTTTAACACTATCTGCAGAATTCCACTTCCCGTTGCCTTCTGATTTGAGGGCCAGGCCATTCATACAGGTGCACAGTTTGAAACTACCAGTCAGTTGCTCTTCGGGAGAAAGAAGGGGGTTCTATTCCTGTAAAGAGTTACAGTAGGAAACTCACTCAAAGTGCCACGCTGTCCTGTAGGGTTGCCTATGAATCAGTATCAACTTGGTGGCCGTGAATGAGAATCAATCGCCTGAGGGAATTCAATTGAGGCTAACTATCATCCACTGCCTTCGGCAATCTGGGTGCTCAGAATTTAAGTTCTAATACCTTTCCCTCTTCTGCTCTTGACTTTTATTATTTACAATTCTTGCATCACGCAGGTGGGTGTACTCCTTCCATGCGGGTTTAGTGCACATATTTGTGATTTTCTTAACTATCATTTTTGAATGATTAGCTATCATTTACTGACTGATTCTACCCATAGAACTGAGCAGGAATGCCGCTCTGCTTTGGGTAGCCGAGTTAGCCAAACAAATGTGGCCCCAGAAAGGCGTGTCCAGCAGGCCAGGGATGTTTCACGTAGCCAAAGACACGGGAAAGAACACTAGCTCCAGCACAGACTAGGGCTACTTCCAGGTTGGATCAGTGAGCGTTGAATTCTTCAAATGAAACAGGTGTCCTGTACCTATCAGATTGCCCCGGGCAACTGTTCTTACTGTGGCAAAGGATGGGGATTTTAAAAGCGGGAACCACGTTGCTTTCGACTCAAGAGTTTCCACTAAAACGGAAGCCTGGACTTCCTGGTGTCCTGCCTCTTGCCTCGGCTTAGGGATCATGGCAGGGGGCAGTCTACCTGCATACCAACTTCAGCTGGGTCACTCACTATCTGTCCCTTGGTGCCTCAGTCCCCCCAATACAAACAGCAGCACGAATGCCACCTACCTCACACACGAGTTGGAAGCATAAGATGAGTTAATTCACATAAAATGCTTAAAAGAGTGGCAAAGAGTAACCACTCAATAGTCATTAGCAATTAGTGTTGTTTTTCTTGGGCCCGAATTGTTTCCCCCTAGACCATGATTTCTTTCACGGCACAGTCCTTGACATTCATCTTTGTATCCCCAGAGCCTAGAACATAGTAGGAAATCAATAAATGCTTCTTGCATGAATGTATGAATCAATGAATGAGATAAGGCTAACTACATAAACTACTAGCTGCTGGGGGGGGGGGGGGGGGGGGGGGGGCGGCTGGGAGGACCTGCAAGCCTTTGTGCCTTGAGGCTTTTAGTGTGTAAGTCAGAGGTAAACAGGAAATTGTCTCACCCCTTAATTTATCTAGCAGGCTGATCCAAGCGGCCCTGAGGAGTCCTGCATGGTGTACTGTATACCCAGGTCTGCTGAGCAGCAAATGCTAACACGGGATTAAACTGGCAAAGGATTTTATTGGGGAGAAACGCCTGGGAGAGAAAACGGGAAGGAGAAGGCTGGGAGAGCCATCAGACTGTCTGATCCTGATGAAGAGGGAGAAGGCTAAGTAAGCAGCAGCGTCCTCGGCCACTGCTGTCAAAGGCAGAGTTTGCCAGTCTGTCGGGAGTCAGGACACGGAAGCCAGCCCCTTGAGAAGTCTCCTGTCTTTGTCTGCCGCCGTGCCCTACCAGGCTCGGACATGGGCTGGGAGCAGCCATGGGGAGCATGGTCAATTGCCATGGTGGATTTCGGAGTGCAGCACTAATTTAAGGCCTTCTCAAGATTTCCAAATACATGGCAATACTAAGAACACAGGAGCCCTTGTAGCACAATGGTTAAAAATACAGCCACTAACCCAAAAGTCACCAGTCCCAATCCACTCTCAGTGGAAGCAAAGGCCGAGTAATTTGCTCCCATAAAGAGTTCGTCATTAGGAAGCCCTATGGGGCAGGTCTCTGTCGGATTGGGTCACTATGAGTTAAAATTGATTCAATGGCATACACCAATATTTAAAAGCACGGGGGTTGGAGGTCAGGTAATCTGGGTTGCATCCCAGCTCTACCACCTAGGAGCTTGGACAAGTTACACAAGCCCTCAAAGCCTAATTACCCTCATTTGTAAAGGTCGATTATAAAACGTTGTCAAACACTACATCTTACAAGTATTTAATGCCCCAAAGAGTAAAGGCAACTGCCACTTCTAGGGCTATTATCACTGTTAATAACACAGTATTTCTACTAGTAATTAGGACACGAGACCAGCGCACACTGCTCACACTTGCGTTTGAGTTCCGTGGGGTATGGACCACGAGGCTGAAAGGATAGCAGCTTGGCAATAACACAATTCAAATAAGCAAACCAGCTTATCTACAAATGAAAGGGCACGGGACTTTCCCTGTGAGGTTAGTTCCTGGAGGGGCATCCTCCTACAGTCACAGCCCCTTGCCCCGCTGCTGCTGGCTGAGGTCCATCTGCAGAGTTCTCTAGCACATCCTCTGCCAGCTGGGAGACCACTGCTTGCCATGAAGGGAGGCGTTGCCAAGAAGCCTGCCCCCCCATCTCTGGACTCTGAGGGACTTGGCTCTCTGCTGCGATTTGCACAGTCTGAGCACCTATTTGGAGATTTTTTTTTTTTTGCTTGCCGCTTTAACTCTTTTCCCCCTAAGACACTGAAAAACATGTTTTTCTGATAGTGGTCATTGCCTAGATACTTTCTAAACTCCGGCCCCAGCATCTTCCTGGAGACAGTCCATGGCTGGGCTGGCTGTGACCTGAGGTAGTTGCAGGTCTCCGAGCTATGAACCGATGGCAGTGAATTGTGACTGTTTTCAAGGCCCCAGTTGATCTGGCTCAGGCCTCTCCTAACCTTGCTGACCTCCGTGGTGTGGTAGCAGTTACAAGCAGAAGCAACAAGAAATGCCGCCCCAGACAAACTAGTTAGCAAGCTCTCCCACTAATTTCTCAGAAGCCTTCCTCCCACCCACCCCTTTCCCAGAGCATCACCAAATTCACCCGTTGGGATTTCTGTATTTTTGTCTTTGGATAAATGACCTTCAATTTGTCTCACTGAAAAAGAGTCAAAAACAAATGGGAAAAGTATTGATTTTCCTTTAATAATTAACAACCTCACAGAGTTGCTTACTGCCGCTCCCAGTTAGCGCCATTCCAGGGCATGTTAGCTTTCTGCCTTCGAACTAAAATCCAACAGTTGAGTTGCCCTGTTTCAGCCTGAGGTTGAACAGTAAAAGAATTGGTTGAACTCAAAGCTGGGCCTTTCCATCTAAAACAAGATCCAGGGCTCTTTGGATGAGAAAACAAACTCTCAAAGCAGTCCAACAGTCCAACTACCCGCTCTGTGTGAATAATTTCTGGATTCGGCTGCTGCTTTTTTTTTTTTTCCAGCCACTGGTCCTCCAAGCCAGAAGAAGGTGCATACTGAACCAACCTGGCACCAGATATGCCCAGTGTACAGGGCAGAGGATTCCATCTCTGGGGAGAAATGCTGGTGGAGTCATCTTCTGCTTCCATTACACACAAAAAATGTTCACCATCTAAGTAATGAGTCTCTTATTGCCACTTTTGTTTGGCTCTTGTTTACATTCAGCCCATGCATCCATTTAAAAACAAATCATGATTGCTCTTACAAATCCAAATTCTCAAAAAATCTGTGCCCTTAAGTAAAACCTGGGCATCCTCCTACAGGTCAACCATTCATTTATTATCTACCTTTTACCACTCAACCTCAGGTGAATCTCTTCCCTTCCCAGGTCCCAGGTATTCTCTGTAGTAGGCCTCTTTCCAGAGCTTCGGCAGTCTCTGCATAAAGAAACAATGGGGAACGTCTCCTCGCCCTCTTGCTCGCCATGTCTGGCTCTTCCAGTGTCGCCGCCATGAAGAAAGTGGTTCAGCAGCTCCGGCTGGAGGCCGGGCTCAACCGTGTGAAAGTTTCCCAGGCAGCTGCAGATTTGAAACAGTTTTGTCTGCAGAATGCTCAACATGACCCACTGCTGACTGGAGTATCTTCGAGTACAAATCCCTTTAGACCCCAGAAAGTCTGTTCATTTTTGTAGTAAGATGAATCTTTCAAAGGTTTCCTAAGCCACTTCTCATGAACCAGTGAATATTCAAGGAGAGCTAAATTTGAACTTGTACAAAAGCTTGTCTTCACAGTTACATGTGCCATACTATACAAACTTCTACTTTTGTCAGTCCTTAACATCTACCTCTCTGAATTTTCATGAATTTCTATTTCACAAGGGTTGTTTTATATACACTGGCATCTGCATATAATAAAATAAACTTAATACAAAAAAAAAAAAAAAAAGAAACAATGGGATTTGATTTGTGGGATGCTGTCTAGTTCTGATACTCCGTGAGCCCCCTGGCCTTGACAAGTAAATGCTAACGTGGAAACCCTGAAGGTGCCCTGGTGATGTAATGGGTTACACATTGAACTACCAACTGTTTAAGGTCAGAGGTTCAAACTCACCAATGACTCCTAGGGAGAAAAAGGAGGCCACCTGTTCCCATAAAGATTTACAGTCTCAGAAATCAAATGGGGCAGCTGTGTTCTGTCCAACAAGGTTGCTACGAGTCAGAATCAACTTGGTGGCAATGGGCTTGGCTTGGCTAGAAGTCCTGGTGGGACAATAGTTAAGCACTCAGCTGCTAACCAAAAGGCCAGTGGTGAAAACTCACCAGTGCTCCACAGAGAGGGACCGGCACTCTGCTCTGGTAGAGATCACGGCCCAGGAAACCCAATGGAACAGTTCAGCTCTGCCATCAGGGGTTGTTAGCAGTCAAAACTGACTCGGGGCACCAGCAACATCAACAAGCACAAATACACAGTCCCTTTGATCTTTTTTTCTTTCCAACAGTTTTATTGGCACATACTTTACATATCACACAATTCAATCATTCACTCGGTCAATCATATCAAGAAGAATTGAACCATCATTACCCCATCAATTTTAGAACATCCCCACCACCACCATGATTAAATCGCCTATAAAATGAGTTGTTCAAATAAACAAGTTAATTAATTAAATGATGAGATAGATAAAATGAGTTGTGCAAGCACAGTCAGTTCTAATGCTCCCTTCCCCCTCCCACCTTCATTGTTTACTCCTGAAAACCCCTTTCCCTCCCTATCAACCACCCCCAAGTCCCCTGAACCATGTGCAAACATGTCTCTCCAATTCCCCATGTGGCTATTTTTAATATAGGATACCCGGCACGAGGGCACACCTTCTGAATGAGCCGTGAATGTGCGAACAAAATAGCACTCTCGCCATTGCTTTATTTAAAATTATAGAAACCACGAAAATCCATCCCAATGATCCTTGGAAGTGCAGCAGGGAGAATGGGAGTGTTTGCAAATACCCTGCTGGAGTGACAAATCAGAATGCAGGGCTATGTATGCAGCTTTCACCAGCATAGCGAGATAACTGACCTTTGACAATGAAAAATACTTCTTATATAATAGGAGCTATAGAGGAAGAAGTCTGTCAAAAAGGAGCATGGCTAAAAGGCTTACAAGCAGCCAAGCAGGGTACAACAAATGATCTCTGTTTACCTGGAGCGAGAGAAAGCAGGAGAGCCAGGAATCGGAGGAGATAAAAGGTGTGGTTAATTGCCTCCAAGGACAACTGCCTTTTCTGGCCTGAGACCAAAAGAACTGGATGGTGCCCAGCTACCATTACTAAGCATTCGGATCAATGCTTCTCTAAAAGTATCCTGATTAAAAGGAGGAATCCAAAGCAGAAACTGAAATTCCCATAGACTTCAGACTTTCTGAACCCTTGGGAACTCCTACCCTGAAATAACCTGAAACCTTAAACCAAAGCCATCCCCTGAAGTCTTCTTAAAACCAAACAACACGAAGGATCTACATGGGACCACAGAGCCCTGATGGCAGAGTGGTTACAAATTGCAGGGTCAGTCGCTTGAAACTACCAGCTGCTCCAAGGGAGAAAGACGGGGCTTTCAGCTCATGTAAAGTCTCACCAGAAGGGCTTAACATAGAGGCCTGGCAGAAAGAACTGAGCCTTGCCTCACAGCTGCCTGCACCCTTGGCCTGAGGGCTGGAGTATTCAGATGGGAGAAGAAGGGCAGAGGGGCAATCCCAGACCTGTGGCAGTAGTCATTGAACCTTAGGGGGAACTTGCCGTTTGGTGGGAGTTTAATCGATAGGGACCACCATATATTTAGTACACCGATGCTTCCCCTGCACAGCAACATGACAGGTTCTGATCTTTTGGACAAAGATTTGAACTTGGAAGAACTGATCCAGGAAGTTTCCAAAGCTGAACTGTGTGGAGCAACATCTTACGGGTTGCGACTCAGAGTGGAACTGTGGTGGCAGAGACTCCTCACTACAGTGTCCAGAGTGATGTGTCATGGGAAACATGGATGATGTTACAAGTGCAGGGGCCTTATACCCCAGGGGGTATATCATTCTTTTCTGTTTATATGGGCTTTTGTTTTCCTGCCTTTAGGTTGCTTGTTATTATTTGTGTGTTTGTCTTTTGTTGTTGCTGTTGGGGGGTTAATTGGTCTTATGGGGTTTGAAATTGCCATAATATGACCACCAGAGTAACCCTGAGTTGTGCAGGGCCAAGCCGATGGAGTCTGGGCCCCCACTGAACTCTAACCCCAATCCAAGAAGAGTTATTCTGAAAATATGGCCCTGCTCAATACTCACCCTCATGTAATGATCACTGAAGATAAGGTGCTACAGCAAAGGGTGGTGAAGAAAGCAGATGGTGCCTGGCTATCAATCGGAATAGTGTGTAGGGTCTTAAAGGCTTGTATTCAAACAGCCATCTAAGTGAGGAGATAAGCACACACCGAAGAAGCACAGCAGCTTGTGTGATCCAAAGATAACAGTAATGAAATTCAAATATGACAAAGGGAAAGGTATCAGAGCCCAAATTATGAATGCCCAATCTGTAGCAGGGTATGGAGAAGAGTGGGAGCCCCAACCGTCTACAGAGTCTCTAGTCAGATTAAGCAGCTGGCAGATCCCCTCTAGCCACAGGAAGGGTCTCACACAGCCTTAGTGCCAGATACAGATCGCTGTTATTGTGATTATAGTGGGTAGAACTGGATACTTGGGCCAGTTGACCCCTCTCTTAACCCAATTTAAAATTGTACTAAATGCAAGTATTTCTTGCTTGCTTCATGACAAAATTTCCTCCCTCCCTGGTCTTTTAAATAGTCATGGTGAACTTTTCTTTCTTATTCATTATTTGCAATGTTTATCTCTGTATTATTATTATTATTTTATCCTGACCACTTTGCTTTGTTCCTGTTTTTTACTGTTTCTGTTGGGTTTTCCAGTTTATGAAGCACAGTAGAGGCATAGAGATAAGAACTGATCCAAGGATTTACAGGGGATGTAGGGGGTATAGGAGATAGGGAGGGGGTGGGGGAGTAAGCAATGTGGACGGTGGGATGGAGCACTAGAACTGATGTTGATTACACGACTCATTTTAAAAGCGATTTAACCATGGTGGAAGGGGGAATTTACTAAAATTGATTGTGGTGATGATTGTACAACCCGTCTTGAAAGGATTGATATGCTGAATTGTGTGATATGTGGATTAAGTGCCAAGAAAACTATTTGAAAAGAAAAAAGGTTTTCACAGTCGCAGAAACTCACAGGGGCAGTTCCACCCTGTCCTATAGAGAGTTGCTAAGGGTCAGCATCGACTCGATGGCCATGGGGGGTGTTTGATGTTTTCAAATAGAGGACCAAGTGATAAGGCAACTTGAGGGATTAGACAGGAACCTTGGGCAGCGGTGAGTTTATGTCAATGGGGAGTACAACTGAGAAAAAGAAAATGGATGTACCACTTGAAGACCAAAATCAATGTGCATGAATATCTACGTACAAACAGTTGAATCAGTTCCATGTTTTTGAAAGGCGCACAGGTTAAGCAGGCCCCAAGCTGTTCTTTCTCTTCAGCTCAGCAACCTGATGTGGATTACTACCACCAGCCACCTACCCACCCCGCCTCCGCCCCCTTCTCACGAAGAGTCCACAAGACCCTGCTTGTTCTGTTGTCCTCTCCCTGACTGCAGTCTCTGTGTTGGGTCTTGTAAGTCCAGAAATCACAAGTCTCTTTCCATGTTGATCAACGTTCAACAGCCTGGCCAACCTGGAGACACCAACACAAAGATGCCTGTCGAGGATGAGGAGTGGCCATGCGTATAAAACAGGCACCGAGTAGCTGGTAGGCTCCCATGCACAAAACCTCAGTACCTCCACATCCTGCTAATAAAAGTTTCATCTGAGTTATCGCATTATGGATACTGCAAATTCTCTGAGGCAAAGTTCAACTTCAGAGTAATCCCTACTTTAGTGAGAACAATTTTTGAATTGTAAGATTACCAGAGCCTTAAGAATCATTTGGTGCAAAATTCCACTCTGGAAAGGATTTTTTTTGTTTGTTTAATGCTAGTCAACTCTATTGGAATGCTTACAGTAAGGATTGTTCTCTTCTTTAATAAGTTCATTCTGCTGGTGGGCATGTCAAGTGACCTGTGAATGCCCACCCTTTCCAGCCTTCCGGAGCTAGCTGAAATGTGTTCTGCTGCCAACTCGACATGCTTTCAACAACAAAGGCGTAGCATGTCCTGAGTTTGGGCAAGTTTGAGGATTCCCCGATGTACAGGTTTGGTGACATCAAGACCCAGGTTCTTTCCATGTATTTACCCTCGCATCATCAGCTAGTGGCAAGACGGCTGTGGCAGCTCAAACGTCACTGCAGACACAAGGTCCAGAGAAGAAAGAGGAAACTATCCCCTCCCCGCCACACACAAGCATGGACCATGAACCCTTTCCTTCGCTCAATGCCATGCGCTCATTGGCCGCCACTAGTCACTTGGGATGGAAAGGATGCAGAACTCCACTGTGATGCCCGCCACCCCTGCGCACCCAGGAACCTCACGACAAACTGAGTTCTCCCTGTTGCTGCACTCCAGAACACGGCACCGTCTCGTCCTCCCAATACCCTGGTTAGACCTTCTCTGGATATAATCTTGTTGATTAGTTTTCTCCTTAAAAAAAAAATAAGAAGAAGAATGGTACCCAGAATGGAGCAGCATTCTGGGTAGAATATGTGAAATTGAGAAATGCCAGGCTCTGGGAGCTGTGTTTTATTAAAGTAGCTTACGTGTGCGATCGCCTTTTTAGTGGCAACATCTCAGGTGATTGCTTTATTAAACCAGGAGTCAACTGTAAATCCAGCCGTCTGTTTTCACCAGCTGGTGTCAGGGTGGATTTCTGCCGTTCTGTACTAGTTACAA